TTAGTTTGAGAGATTTGCCCTAGAATCTGTGCTGTTACTTTGTTAGATAACACTGTGCAGTTTTACATTTTTATCAGTAACTTGGATAAAGTGGCATGATTGTCAGTTATATCTGAAGATGTCACAAAGCTAGGATGTATAGCTGACACAGTGAATGACAGAGTCAGGATTCAAAAAGATCTCACCCATCAGGAATATTAGACTAAATCTAATAAGATGCAATTCAACAGTATAAATCTAAAGTCTTAAACTTGATTTCAGAAAATCATGTTCACAAGCATAGGATGGGAGCAGTATGGTTAGACAGCTGTTTGAAAAAATGGGAGAGCTTTTTGGGTCTACAAGTTCAGTATGACCTCATTCTCCTCACTAGAGGTCTTCAGGGAAAGGCTTGACATTTGGCTAATAGAAATATATAGAGGATTATTATTCATCTGCTGTTTGGAGCACTTGACCTCCAAGGTTCTTTACAATACTAAGATTCCTTAATTCTGTAATTCAGTAAATATTCTATCTCTTCTCTCAAAGAGCTTTCCATCTATCAGATGAAATAAAATGTGCAAAAGCAATGAATAGATGATAGAATATAAAATACATAAAAAGATATAGGTAAGGTGCTATGAAAACTTAATAGACAGAAGGAACCATCTCAACTAGATCCAGGTAAGGCTTCATGGAGGAGAAAGCCTTTGATTTAGGCCTTGAAAGATCTATGTAGGGTAGAAGTTTATATAGCCTCACCAGATTCTTTGGAGAGACATATATGAAACATTGCAGATTCATTCAGTCAAATCCTGAATTAAAACTCTTCATCAGTCCTTTCTGCCATGAGGCACAGAATGTTCAGCAAAATTACTTTAAATCAATAAAAATTACAGGAATACACTGATGCACCTTCTCATAAGTGCCATTCATCCACTGACAGTGGTTTATTAGAATAACATATAAAAGTTCCTCCATGTCAGAGAATAGAGGAAGGAGATACTATTTTCAACTGGATGGAACTGATTCTCCTATATAGAAGTACCTATTTGGTATTCAAAATTTTGTGACAGGTGACACAGAATATATTTTTGTTATTGTTGTTTAATCATAAAAAGAAAGGTGGTCTTAGCCAAATTAAGCAGTCTATTACTGTTAATAGAAAAGCATGAGGGGCAGATAGGTGGCACAGCTGATAGAGCACTGGCCCTGGAGTCAGGAGGACCTGAGTTCTAATCTAGCCTCAGATACTTGACACGTGCTATCTTTGTGACCCTGGGCAAGTCACTTAACCCCCATTGCCTTGCAAAACAAAAATGAGCAAACAAACCAACAAACACCACATGAAAGTTGCTCAGACGGATCATAGCATTGGCTGCTGGCCCATTTGCATAACCAAGATTATCCATAATCACTCACTCCATCCACCAAACCCTGGATACCCATTGGCATTAAACAACCAACTTCATACTAGGTAAGAAAAAGTAAACTATCTCTGTAAATTGTGTTTAAGGCAGTATCATATGATAGATAGGATATGAATGAATAAATGTAGCATTTATTAAACACATATATACAAAGCTCTGGAGACACAAATAGAAAAGTAAAACAATTTCTGTTCTTAAGGGGCTTACATTGTAATGTTTCTGAATGTATTACTTAAATTAAAACAACTTAGCAACTGGATTATGTTTCCAAAGTAATGTGACAAACATGTTACTACTAAGGACAATTAGTTTGTAATAGAAACCTTCCCTGACAAGCAAGTATTTCCAGATTTATGGCTAATGCTCCTAGGGACTTCCTATCTATGAAGTATTAATAGGAAGTAGTTTTAAAAGAAGACAAAATACTAACACTATGTTCTTTTAAAATTGTAATTTATAAGTCAGCATATGGAAAAATTAATTTTTACTATTTTAAAATGATTTTTAAAAAACTTCAAGTCTTTACTAGGTACTGAAGTGAAACAATCTGCTTAAGGTTTTTTCCACCCATATTCTTTACAATATTAACCAGACAGTATGACTAATCTAGAATTATCTCACTAATACACCTGAACTCTGTGTATTAGCTATGACAACTGTACTACCTCCTAAAGTCAGCAGAATTTCCACTTGGTATTTTTTTTTAACTAAAAGCAGAAGCCCAACAATTTATTAATGAAAAGTTTAGGTCTCTGAAGGTGAAGTAATCACATTTTCTTTTTCAGAAGAAAATATAAATAGCAATGTTTTTAAAAACTGACTTATTGCTCTTTAAAGAAAGAAAATAGACATTGTGTCTCAGCAGTGCATTTCTAGACAAAAACACTCTGGTTTATGTCCACAGCAGGGGGGGGGAATTTTAATTACCTACCCTGGAAACAGTGGAAAAAGTACCCACTTGTAAATGGCTGCTGGCACTAAAGTATTGTACCGTGGTGTAGCATTCAAATATCTGGATGATTAAAGCAAGCTCTTTTTTTGAATGTGTTCTTCCTTTGCTGGTGATTTATCACTGTGGTACAATGTTCAGTAGTGAACAAATAAGTGCATTTCCTACACTTGTGCAAGGGTAGTGCAAATGTTAATGACTAGTCATTTGTTGGCATAGCTCATTAACTTTTTATTCCACAGCACTGTTGTTAGTAAGGTAAATTAAAAAAACAAACACCTTTTTTTTGGTTTGGATCTATCTACCCATATGGAAAATTCCTCCCTTGAAAAAGATTTTGCAGTTTATAATCTTAAAGAGTTGTCTGGGAGCACTGAGGTCAAATGACTTGCTCAAAGTCACATATTTAATATATATGAGACAGAATCTGATCTCAGATCTCCCTGACACCCTGATATTTTGGCCATCTAGACATGAAACCACAACCATATCTCAGTAGGTATAGACCAACTCTAGTACATGAGTTAAAGCCCACATAGTATCATAACAATGTATTTTTTTCATGAAATCACACACAGACTTAGTTCTGAATTATAAGTTAGAAGCAACATTTGAATTCAAGTTCATTATACTGTATATTATCAGTACACTATCAAAGCTAAATATTGCTTTGAATGGCTCATACTTCCTGTCCCAAAGACCATTTTAGGTAGACTGGAATGGTCTCAGAAGTTCTGTTTATAAGTTTCTTGAATGCAAGGACTGGTTCATTTTTTTTTTGTCTTTGTATCTTCAGTGTCTAGCATAGTGTACAGCACTGTAGGTGCTCAGTAAATGCATATAGTAGGTTCTTAATAAATGTTTGTTGATTGATGGAGTGAAATCCTTTTATATCTGAACTTTGTCAGTGCCTTAGACGCTGGTGCTGCAGCATCATTTACATATAACTTAAATGGTGGTTTCAGGCAAACTCTTTGGAGCTCTGTCAAAACTTCCTGTTCTTGGTGAAGCTATACTGTCTCACCACTTCCTTTTCTGGATGTTCATTGCTTTGATGATCTATTCTAGAATTTCCCTGGGAATTAAAGTTAAGCTCTCTAACATCTAGTTTCTATATCTTGTTCTTTAACCATTTTTGCCAATTAGAACATTTCATCCCAATACCTGTCTAGTTCTCCATAAACTTTCCTATTTCAGTAGTGGTTCAGCCATCAAATCCACTGGTTCTTTTGCTACCTGAGAACGTAGTTCATATGGGCCGAGGGACATGAATTCTGTGCTGTGGCAGAGCCAGATTATGGGAATTAGGTTACTCTTTCCTACTCTAAGTTATTGTCATGTGAAGATGGAAGGATCTCAGATTCACAGTGCTTTAAGGGAGTCTGTGAGCTAAGCCTCATTACAGACTGCAAAATTGCTGGTTAATCCATTAGTACAAGATTGCTTTCTGAGGGCCACTGACCACTCACATATTGACTACCAAGATCCCACAATAATATCTCATTGCTCAAATTATAGTACATGAATAAAGAATTCCTGTCCTGTCCTGAGTTAGAGACCAAAGGCTCTGATCCAAAAGAGGACACATAAAACTCAATAAAGGAAGAAAGAACAAATCAACCAGGATTCCCTAGGAGGATTCAGAGGATTCTCTAAGAGGTTGGGGTATAAAGCCCAGAACTGGAGAACGCATGCATATGGAGAAACAGAATAAAACCCTTGGAACTTGTAATCAATCTCTAGTGATTTACTGGGAAGGCTGGTGACAAAAAGCTAAAACATAATCTAGATAGGTAAGGAAAAGTTAGAAATGGGAAGGCAGGATAGACAAGGCACTAATCACTCCCTATATAGTTTTATTGTCCATTGTAGCCTTATAACATGTAATTTAGGTCAATAAACTCATAGAATCTCTTCTGTAATACATATTTAGAGTCTACTGATATCTAAGATTATTCTGCATTTTCTAGGCTATTTTAGAAATATTTCAGGGATATTATCATTAGATCTATTTTACATCTACTTTCTTATAATTATAGTTCTGGGTTGAATGGAATTTATTATATATTTGAAAAATTAGCCTCTTAACTTGTGTTAAAGTGTAGAAACACTAAAAAAGTGTCATCTAAAACTAATGTCAAAGAGAGGTAGTTAGCATTTGGTTTCAATTACTACTAATGATAATTAGCAATACTCTAACCCCAAGCTTCTTTATTTATACATGCTTGTCACTGACTATTGAGTTCTTAGTAATTTGTTAAAAATTAGTAGGGTTTTATGGGCTTGGTGGGTGTTATTTGAACATATTTTTGATAACAGTTTATTAGCATGAGAAAAATGAGAATTACATGCTTTTGACTATTGATAGAATAAAAAACAATGCTCATGTAGGCCAAAGATTTTAACATGTTCAGATTTGTCATGCATATTAGCCAGTTTGTTATACTTAACTTATTTAGGTTTTGTTTAGGAAATGAAATTTACATGTACAATGCTTTTATATTCTCTATTCATATACATGCTAAATACATGAACATAGGAAAAATTTAGCACAAGGAAAAATTTACTGAACATTTTGAAATCTGAATTTTATGAATATTCACCATATACTTAGTTCTTCTAAATTGTTCCTTTTTAAATAGGGTTATCTGTGTTGGTGGTGATGGATCTGCCAGTGAGGTGGCTCATGGTTTACTTCTTAGAGCCCAAATGGATGCTGGGATAGACACAAATTACATCCTGACACCTGTCAGAACACCACTTCCTCTTGGGATAATACCAGCAGGTAAGAATAGTGGCAGCAGACTCACCAAATTATGCATCTATCTGAAATTAATCTGTTGTGCTATACAATTTAGGCAGCCCAGGTTACCTCTTAAATAAATAACCAAGAGTTGAGATTGATTGAATATTGACTTTCCATCTTAAAAATCATTTGTAATGGCATATTCCCTAATATTTTTACACATGTATGTACACATACGTATGTAGGGGTAATTTTCTAAAAGCCTTAAAAAAATCTCAGAATTTAAATTTACCACCTGATAGAAAAATGTATTAAAATCAATATTCCACTTATTTTATTATCACTTCAATCCCTTACTATTGGTTCATAGGTATTTTGAGACTTTAAAATGGAATCTATTCAAAAATACCTTAATACTATTTAGGAAAAATGGTAGGAAACATTGTGAAGCTTTTACAGTGCCTACAAAAACATCTCTGATAAATTATATCGTGAGAGGCAACCTCTGCTGCAAAGAAGCAAATGCATGTTAGGCCAGTAATTTGACCTTCACAGGTCATTTTAGTTGCTATGAATGCGATGGCAGTGTTATGAGATGGAACCTCTCCAACATTTCACTCCATGCAAATTGGACGTGCTTGGGTCACTGTTTCTCTTCATTAGTATTTATACTCCTGAGATAATTTGTTAACAGTTATATATCAAAAATAAGAAGGATGGGTGCACCCAAAAGGATGCATTTTTATCAAGTGGGCAGCAGTCTCAAGGCATAAGTTAAGTGAGAATGTTTCTTTCTTTCTTTTTTTAATAGCTCAGTTTTTAAAAAGGAAACCACCATATGATAATTGAGCTTTGTGGATGTTACAGGTTTTAAAACAAATCTTCTTTTAAACCCATACTATATGCGTACATGTTGAATTTTCATTGAAATAATCGGGAAGGAAGCATTAAAAAGCTTCAGCATGTCATCTGAGCACCAGTTAGAGGTTCTAACTAACTGGTTATAGCAAATGGGAATAGGAAATGATTTACTGGACACATTTGTTTGAGGACTAAAGTCCTACTTCTTACTTTGATAGGCAAAGAATAGGAATAACAAGTGCTAGGCAGGAAGTTTGAAAGCTTCAGAACATGAGGAGACAGTCTGCCTTTGAAGTCATTTGCATCCTGGAGAGAGACACCCAGAGGGAGAGTGTTTAGTAAATTACTCTACTGAGCCAGCAGACTAAGCTGCTGAATTATGGTCAGAATCAAATGGATCAGATGTGGGGAAGCCTGTATTTGTAATCCTGGCCATTAGCAATGGTGTTTGTTGCTATGGGAACTGGTACTAAGGAACTATACAGAGAGATTCAGGTTGAGGAAAAAAACTAGAGGGACATAAAGATAAAAAACCCATCTAGTTGTTGTAAAACAAGGGTTGATCCCCAGACTGATGGCTACAAAACAACATAGTCTTAAGGAGTTCATTTAAATAAATTCATGCTTTCTAATTAATTTGGGGAGAATAAAATATTGCCAAGGGACTGTTAATTTCTATGATATTTCAGGCAAAGAACCAAAGTGTAGGTACAGTTTTCATGAGAATTTTAGATATGCTTGACTAGGAAGTCATTACATCACATTTATCTGTTTGGATGTGGGAGACATTAACAGTCTTATGAATATTCATGTTGTCTGGTTAATTAAGTTAATTGTTCTGCAGAAGTGCTTGCACTTCCAAGGACAATTTTTTTTTATCACAATTTCTGCTTGGTACCTTCATCAATCATTCTTTACATGAACTCTGATACTTTTGTCCTTACTCTTCTGCTTTGGCACATTTTCGGGGTGAGGGAGAAGAAGGAGAGAGAGAGAGGATAATGTTGGCAGGAAAATAACTTTTCATTCCAATTAAAATGTTCAATTTGAAGTAGAACATTTATAGCTTCTTTTGAGAATGTGTTACATTGTTATTATGTGTATTGGGCAGTGCTGCCTTTCAATGAATAGACTTCTTTACAAATAAAGTAGTGTTTGAGGAATCGAGAGGTTAAATTTGATATATAGAATTCACTTGAGCATTTCATATGTCAACATCTTGAAAGGTCAGCATGGCTGTATAAAATGGTTAGTCATGGTTTTGTTATGTCTGTCAGAAATAGTGAAACACAGATTTTCACAAAACATATCCCACATAAAAAATTTCCATTCATGACAGTTCTCTTTTACGTAAGTAAGTTAAGGAAGGAAATATATTGATGCATGTTGATGGTTGTGTTACTTTATTGCAATATATTAAGTTCATTGTCTCTATTTTCATGTCATTGAGTACATTGTCTTTGTGGAATTCCCTTCTTCAAGGATTTAAGACTATATTTAAGGACTGGAGGACAGGCCAACTAGAACAAAAAGAAATTATTAAGTGAATTAATTTTTGGCCTGCATATCATGGTCGTCCTTAACCCCAGGAGTGTTTGCTACAGAACTGAGGAACAATTACAAAGGTATCCTTTAAAAGCTAACTAAGGATCTGTGCTCTGTCATAATTCACAGGAGCATTCCCTTATAACATGGAAGGAATAAGCAGTCTTTGTTGCCTTGGTCATGGTGTGTTTCATTCTCCATTGTTCATTACAGCATTACATTATTGCTTTTTAATAGCCTTTCTACAGGAATGTTTTTATAGTCAACTTGTAATTATCTGTGGTAATAGAAAGAGGGACAGCATGGATAATTGAAATCCATAGATAATAAAAAAAATCATTTTGTTAATAGTTTCATTCTCTCCTTCACCAAAACTTTTACCAGATCTGCTAACAGGACACATAATGGATTGTTTATCTCCTTTTATTTCTCCCATTCATTCCCAAGTGGGGGGTGCTAATATGCTAGAGAATGGTCAAAAGACAGGTAGCAGAAGGCCAAAGGATAATTCAAGAGGCCTGGATAATCCACTCCTAGATAATTAACTCCTCAGTAATCACGAGTTGTCTGCTTTCACAGCTATACTGTTACAGAACACCCACAAATCAATTTCTTCCTCATTAGGCCAGCTTTATGTTTTAATTTGGACTGGATATTACTTGAGGAGTAGGTAAAGACTACGGCTTGTTTGAACTTAGGGCCTCAGTATAGTGCCTTATATTTAGTAGATATTTATTATATTTTTTGTTGATTTGAATGACTCAGCAATATCATCACATAATAGGTTCTTGTAAGTTGGTATTGTGAAGATGATAATCATTTGATAACAGTCTCTTTGAGCTCTAATATTTGGTAATTGTATGATTCTGTTCAGAATGTTGGCCTTTGGGGGAAAAATCTTCCTATTTATTTCCACTGTTCAGCTAGATGAAAATAAATCAGGATGCAAATCTTACTTTGAGATGCTATATATTTTGAAAATAAATTTTTCCCGTTCCATATCAATTAATGGTATTCTCCCAGGCCATAGTACTAATGGTATTAATATTAAAACTTCCCGGTGTTATTATTATAGTTATTATATTGCATGCCAATGACAGATCACTTGACTGAGGTTGAATGAAGTAATTTTTAGAGTCTCAGCGTCTCCTTGTTTTAATATTATCAAGTAGAGAAATTAATTTATCTTATGTTGGAGAAACTTGTCGTGGATAGGAACCTATAATGAATGATTTTAAAGCAATTTTATGACATTTGTAGTTAGCATGCTATACAATGCATATTCATGTACATATTTGATATCTTGTGTATTAAACCTCTCTACCTGCACAAATGATCCCATTCTGTCTCATCTGCTCCAAAAGATTCACCCCTCTGTCATCCCCATTCTTTCACTTATCTTCAATCTCTTCCTGGTCTGCTGGTTCCTTTCTTGCTGTCTATAAACATACCCGTCTTGCTCATCCTCAAAAAAACCCTTACCTGATTCTTCCATCCACACTAAATCCCTTTTGTGGCTAAACAACTTGAGAAGGTCATCTACAATAGGTGCCTCCACTTCTTCTCCTCTCATTCTCTTTTTAACCTCTTACAATCTGGCATCTAACTTCATAATTCCACCAAATTTGCTTTCTCCAGGTACCAATGATCTTTGAATCACTAAATCCAATTTCTCAGTCCTCATTCTTCTTGACCTTTCTGTAACTTTTGGCTGTTGATTACCCTGTCTTCCTTTATATTCTTTTTTTTTTGTGAGGCAGTCAAGGTTAAGTGACTTGCCCAAGGTCACACAGCTAGTACGTGTCAAGTGTTTGGTCTGAGGCCGGATTTGAACTCAGGTCCCCCTGACTTAAGGGCTGGTGCTCTATCCACTGTGCCACCTAGCTGCCCCCTTGCTACTCTCTTCTTGCTAGGTTTTTGGGACAACAGTCACTCCTGGTTTTCCTCCTACCTGTCACATTGCTCCTGAATCTCCTGTGCTGGATCCTCATCCAGTTCGTGTTCCTTAACCATAGATGTCCCACAAGGCTCTTTTCTTCTCCCTTTATACTATCTCACTTGGGGATCTCATCAGCTCCCATGCATTTAATTGCCATATCTTTGCTTATGAATCTCAAATCTACCTAGTCTGCCCTAACCTCTCTGCTGATCTCTGGTTGTACATCTCTAGTTGCCTTTCAGACATTTTGAATTGTATTTCCATAGACATCTTAAACATGACATGTCCAAAACTAAACTAATCCCCCCTAAGTCCTCCACCCTTCCAAACTTTCCTGTTACTGTCAAGGACACCACCATCTTCCCAGGCCCTTAGCTTCACGACCTCGGTGTCATCCCTAACTCTTCTGTATCTCTCACCATCCCCTCTCCCCGACCCGTGTCCAATCTGTTGCTAAGGCCCATCTATTTCACCATTGCATCATCTCTCAAGTACACTCTCTTGTCTCTTCTGATACTGCTAACACCTTGGTGCAAGTCCTTACCACCTCATGCCTGGACTATTGCAGTAGCCTGCTGGTGGATCTACCTGTTTCAAATCTCCCCAGCTCATCCTCCATTCAGCCACCAAACTAATTTTCCTAATGCTCAGGCCCTACCATGTCACCTTCCCCCTCCATAAACCCCCTTCCACCTCCAGGAATTTCTGTTTGGTGTTTAAAGCCCTTCATGACTACCCCCATCTACCTTTCCAATCTTCTTACACTTTACTACTGACCATGTGCTTTGATATACAGTGATATTTGGCCTCCTTGCTCTTCCATGAACAATATAATTTATCTCTTGGCTCCAAGCATTTTCTCTCACTGTTGCCCAGGCGTGGAATGTTCTCCTTTTTCATCTCTGCCTCCTAACCTCCCACACTTCTTTCAAGCCCCAACTAAAATCCCACTTTCTACAGGAAGACTTTCCTATCCCCTCTTAATTGTAGTTCCCTTTCTCTGTTAATTAATTCTAATCTATCCTGTATATTGCTTGTTTGCATATATTTCTTTGCACCAGGGACTATCTTTTGCCTCTTTTTGTATCTTTAGTTCTTATCATATTGTCTGTCTCATAACGGATACTTAATAAATGCTTATTAACTGATTAACTCTCTTTTTTTGTCCTTTTTCTTGATTAATCATTCTGAAAATCTTTTGAACAGGATCTCTTTTTTCCTTATCAAACAGAAGGGTTTTTTTTTTAAATTGTATCTCTTGATGCTGGACTTTGTTGTTAGTCTATAGAAATGCTAATGATTTATGTGGATTTATTTTATATCCTGCAACTTTGCTAAAGCTTTTCATTGTGTCAACTGGTTTTTTATAGTTTATTGTCTAGAATTCTGTAAGCATACCATCATATCATCTGCAAAGAGTGATAGTTTTGTTTCCTCTTTGCCTATTCTAGTTCCTTCCATATCCTTTTCTTGTCTTAGCATTCTAATACAATATTCAATAACAGAAGTGATAATGAACATCCTTGCTTCATCCCTGATCTTATTGGGAAGACTTTCTCCTCATTACACTTGATGCTTGCTGATGGTTTTACGTAGATACTACTAATCATTTTAAGAAAAGGTCCATTTATTCTTGTGCTTTCGAATTTTTTTTAAGATACAAATGAATGTTGTATTTTGTCAAAAGCTTTTTCTATATCTATTGAGATAATCATGTGATTATCTTACATGTGATTATTTTCATTGTTTTTCATCGATATGGTCAATTATGCTGACAGTTTTCCCAGTATTCAATAACCCTGAGTTCCTGGTATAAATTCTACTTGGTGAAAGTATATAATCTTTGTGACATATTACTTTAATCTGCTTGCTAGTATTTTATTTAAAAATTTTGCATCAATAAGGAAATTCTCATATTACAAAAAGCAAAATAACTGGAATAAATCTGAAATTCCATTCTCTCTTGATGGAAATGCTTTAATGTAGGTGACCCTGGCCATTAAAGCATGCCCATTGCAAGTATTCATCACATGAACTGAAGATAGGAATATGTTTGTTATGTGCTATATCATCAAAATGGAAACATATCTTTTTACCAGTTATAGGCAGGGGGATATATAGTGATTTTCCCCCCAATGATATTAATTCTAAATCACATAACATATTACTGACTAGCACGAGGCAATTGTAAGAAACAACTAAATCCCTGAGCCTAGATTAGATGAACTCAATCTGTCCAGAAATTTTACCTAAAAATACAATGGATGACAAAAACAATACTGAGATCATAAATATTTTTAAAAGAAATAATCATACTTAGACTGGAATTTTTGAGGTTTGATGGTATGAATTCTCCTAATAGACTATTTTTAAAAGTTTTTTTTTTTAATTTGGCATTTGTTATAACCATTATGAGTGAATGGATGCTTCCACAATATTTGACAGAAAGTATAAGAACATTTCAGGACTAGTCCACTGTACTATACATTGTAGCATTTGCGATAGTAAAACCCATAGGAAGAGAGATGGAACCATTAAGGAATATCATGGACAAGAACCAAAAGCACCATCTTGGCTGAAGCAACTTGAGGAATCTGTTGAAGAACCCCAGGAAGATATCAGAAGATAACATTAACAACCAGCTGGTGAATGCAGAAGAGGATGTGAATGTCATCTCACCCAGTTAAAAACAATAAAAAGGAAATGTGTGGAAGGGAATCCAGAAAATAAAAGCATCTTCAGAATTCTAGTTCGCATTAATCAAATATTAAAAGTGAAAGTCAAAAGGTTAAGACAATGAGAGAAGTCAAAGAAATTCAAAGAACAAAATAAACAATTCAAAATCTTTCAGAAACTTTACTGCAGAGATTTAAGAAGCAAAGAAATTATAGGAGAGATGAACTTCTGAGTTTGGAGATTTCTGGTCATTAATGTGGTTACAACAAAGAAAATATGTTGGATGAAACAAGAATTACTTTATGCATCATAAATGCAATGAATGATAGAAAAGTTACATTAAGTAAAGTTCCTAAAACTCTAGCTTCTCTGTAAAACTGGGAAAAATATAGTGAATACTGGTAGATAAGATCCATAATTATTGGCTCAAAAGCTTCAGTGCATAAATTACTAGCAAAACACTTTACCCACTTCCTCTCAGATACAAATTTGATCACAAGGCATTTGTAGGTAGAAGATAGTGTTAGATTGAGTCATAAAACTATCTCCATGTATAACTGAGAGATAGTAAAGTTACAGATGATGGAAATTAAGGAGGTTGATGAACTTGGAAGCTAACATGTTTGAGGGTGATATCAATATATGTATGAAAAACTTAGGGGAACATAAGATTACATCAACCAGGAACTGAATAGGTTGATATAAATGTATGAAGAGAATATGGAAAATAAACAGGTTGCTGAGTGGTACTAGAAGGACGGTACAGAAATGGTGGTGAGGACCAAGTGATGTATCTACTCTTCTTTCAGGTCTAGTGTATCCAGGAACATGAAAGAAAGTACATCCGGTACTGGAGGGAGTGGCCAGTGATGTAGTGTCCTTTACAGTTGGCCAGATTTCCATCAGGGCAAGTAGATGGAAAGAGTATAAGAGAAAAGCATATCTAGTATAATAGGAAATTTGTTAAGAATAGAAAAAAAATTCCAAAAATCAAAGTGTAACAGGAGGGCAGAGCAAGGCAAATATTCTAGAGGGGGTAAGCCTGAGGAAGATGGGGTTAAAGGAGCCAGGAGCAGTAACAGGGAGATAAGTTTGGGGCATTCTGTTGAATTCTGGTTGATTTTTATCAGCTTTCCCAGGAAGCACTGGTGGCTCTCCCTTTCTTGGTGTGGTAATGAATGGCTGGAAATGATGGGGTTTTTTATTCTCTGAGGTGGTTGAGGTACTAATCCAAATCTGTGCCCCTGAGATAAGAAGCTTGGGGTTTGGACCCTCTTTTAATAATTTTTCAAAGCTTAGGCATTTTTGATTTTCCCACCCTTCCCAATAAGCAAAATTGTCCACATACCCAATCTTTCTTGTAATGGAAAGCTTTGGAATTGTTGATTTTCTCACTCCTGCTGTCAGCCGAGGTCCTAGTCCTAAAAGGGTTGATAAAGGCTTTATCCATGGTGAAAAAAAGGCTTAGTGTTATGGTTAATTGAATATGTTCATTTGTTGATTTGTTTATTGCAAGGCCAAAATCAAATGATCATATATAACTGTAGCTGAATAGAGATACAAATACCATGTAATTTAAGAGGTGGGAAAAGGTTAATTGTTAAACGGGTTTTTTCTAAAGGTACATAATGTGTTTCTAATGGAGGGTCTAGTGTCTTGCTTTGGTTTTTAAAATAACAGTTTTACCTATCTTTGGTGACTTAGATGATTTGCTTAAAGACTGATTTGACCTCTGATTTTAGTATCAGCAATATTTCAACTACCTTTTTATAAGGCCTTTTGAGGTTAAATATGGTTTATGTTAAAGATATCCAGACTATTTGTGATAGAAGTTACTATTCAAAAGTAATAACAAACTCACAGGAGAATTTGTCAAATGTGCATTGCTAGATGAAAGTGGTCCTCTGCTAAGCTTCTTTGTGAATGTGTGTGTGTGTCAGGGGTACTAGGTGAGGGAGTAGAAAAAATACTTATTTTTCTGGCCAAAAATTACTATTAATATGTAATTTTAAATTTTTTTCTAAATTCTTTCTTTCATTATCAACTTTTGCTCAATTTGGCAGGTTCTACTAACGTACTGGCACATTCACTTTATGGAATCACTCACATAGTGACTGCAACATTACATATAATAATGGGTAAGAATTGCTTCATGTTTTAGAAGGATATTTTATTTTATGTAATATAAATAATAGTACTTAAGTTTTTACTATTCAGTTGTTTCAGTCATGTCTGACTCTGTGACTCCATTTGAGGTTTTCTTGACAAAGATACTGGAGTGATTTGCCATTTCCTTCTCCAGCTCATTTTACAGATGAGGAAACAAAGCTAAACAGTGTTAAATGACTTGCTCAAGGTTACCCAGCTAGTAAGTGTATGAGGCCAGATTTGAACCCAGGAAGATGAATCTTCCTGACTTCAGGCTCCCATCTATCCACTGCACCACCTAGTTGCCCAATATTTCAGTTATGAGAGCAAAAATTGTGAGACTTGAACACAATGTCTAAGACTCTCAAGAATAATTTTTTTTATTCTTAAAAATGTCAAGTAATACAAATTGTTAAACATCAAATTTAGGACTATTTTTTCAAGTTTTTACTTCAGAAAGTAGATATAAAGGGGATAAGCCACGAAAAGAATGGAATTGTTTTTAACATTTATTTAGGATGACAGGGATGTATTTGTGTACTCTTACATATATGTATATATATATTATATATATATATACATATGTATACACACTAATACATTGAGGTGCAAGCAGAATTTATTTTTGAAGTGGAAGGAAATATAATCTCAGATAAGTGGGATTACATTGAACTCTTACCATAAAACTGAAAGGCAACATAACTCAGATAAGTGAAAACCAAATATACTATAAAATAAAGCCATTCTAGCCTTCTGCAGCCTCACCACCCATACTATGCTCATCACTGAACCACAGGATTAGTAGATATGTATTTTACCTTAGTCTCTGCCTCTTTGCACTATGATGGAGAACCCAGTGGAGATTTCATTAATTGGAGATATAACTAGAAAAGAAAAGACCATTCATTATGGTACAGAGGAGCTCAAGATAGCTGTTACATTGAATTAATTAAACATAGTACTCCAGATTTATTATTTGCTTGTGGAAATTCACTTCTTTTACTTTGTTATTTCACTGTGCTGATATTTCAGGGCACATGCAACCAGTAGACATCTGCACATTTAGTAGTGCTGGCAAGTTTCTTCGCTTTGGATTCTCAGCTATGTTTGGCTTTGGTGGAAGGACTTTGGCTTCAGCAGAAAAACATCGTTGGATGCCACCTAATCAAAGGAAAGACTTTGCTATGATTAAGACGCTGGCACGCCTCAAGTGAGCATTTTTCCTAGCTCTCTAGAGTTCAGTGTTTAGTATAGTACAATATATGAGAAAGATGTTCACATCCCCATAACACCACACAATCTATAATAAAACTTATTATCTCTTAGACCTGAGGACTGTGAAATATCATTTTTACCTGCAAAAGGCTCTCAGGACTTCCAGGAAGCCAGTAGGTATGTAACTCTGTGTGTGTTTAGGTATATGTATTATTTGGCTAGACCTGTGATTGGTATCAGGAACTGCTAATAAGGAAATTTCTTCAGCCACTGCAGAGTCACACCTGCCTGCAAGATTCAGTCATAGACAATTTCCTGGGTTGTTTGAAAAGTTAAGTGACTTGCTTAAGGTCACACATTCAGGATGTCACAATATTTGAACCTTTATCTTCCCAACTGAGTTTGACTGTCTAGAGCATCAAGTCATCTTGAATCTAGGTCTTTCCTACTCTAAAGTCTGACCTCTGCCCTTTGCATCATGCTGCCCCTCCCTCTGCTGCTTCCCTCCCTGAAGAAATGTGAGGAAAAGGCAGTTGAGGGCAGGTTTGACTCTGGCCCCAACAGCTCCTGGAAGTAACTTGGATTTTTCACTTTCTTTTATGAGAAACAACAATTTTAGAATGAGATGGGAGGCAGAAGTAGGGAGATGGGCCAGGAATGAATGGATTGGTACTCACTTCCTAGTCTTCCCTCCCATAAGGGGCTGGACTCAGGTTATCATGAGGATAGGCTTGGAGCATCAGTGGGGAGATCCCTCTGCATTTTGGATCTTTTCTCCTCACCAAACTATACTTTGTAAGAAGTTAATTTCATTGTCCTGAACTCCTGGAACAGTACATGTTGATAGTTATTTTTACACACATACATATATACATATGTTCTAGGTAAACATAATTATCCAAAATGGTTTGCTTTAGAGGATTTAATCCTATAATCAGTTACTTAGCACTCTTATGTGTTTGACTCTGGGGATATACAAAGAAAAACAATATGGTCTTTTTTCTCAGGGAGTTTATAGTCTATTGTGGGCATAAATTAGGTTGTCAGGTAAGTAAATACAGTTTCAAGAGGAAGAGAGGTAATAATATAGGGGTTTTTTTTTGACAAAACAGAGTATTATTTAACATTTCTTTTGTACTTTTTGTTCTATAGTCATTCCACACCCCCTAGCTCCACTATAAGGTGTAAAGCCATAGAGCTATAATAAATTATGTACACACACACATACACACACACACACACACATATACACACATAAATGTTTGGAAGAATTTCACTTGGGAGAAGGCAGATGGAAGTAAAGATGAGCAGATTAATATGAAAGATGTAAAGGTATAATTTAAGAGACTTGGCAACTAATCAGATATAGATGGTGAAGAAGAGGGAATAATCAAAGATGATTGAGATTTTAGGTCTAGAATGCTAATAGGATATCATCAACAGAAATAGGGAATTGGGGAAGAAGAGCAGGTTGGGGAGAAGATGGATATATTGGTTTTGGAAATGTATTTTAGGTGTTGATATGGTATACAGGTAGAGATCTTCAGTAGATATTTGGAAATCTTTATTAGCTTTCATGGGAGACAGAGAAGTAAGATATATAGATTTGAAAATCATTTGGATAAATAAAGGACTAGGAGCAAATGGGTTCACCAAAAAAAAAAGTAGAGGCAGAAGAAAAAATGACACCCATAGTTAAGAGTATGAGAAGACTATAATTTACCAAAAGAGATCGAAGGGCATTCTTATATCACCTGGCTACCATCTTCTATATAATACTTTTCTATTTTTCAATGATGCCTGCAATCAACAAATATATTATTACTATACATTGTGATTTGACTCTTATTGAATTATTTATACATTTTGACTTAAAAATAAAGTTAACTATTCTTAGAAAAAGGATATAGTATTTAGTTTCTTTTAAAGTCTTTTAAATATATAATTTAATATATTATATTAATATATTTAATAATTTATTTAATCAATGAATTTATTATTTAATCATTTTATTTATTTAATTAAATAAAATATATTTAATAATATATGTAATATATATTTTAATATGTCCAATTTCTTTCACACAATGTATTTTTCTTTTTAGAAATGAACATAGAACAACAGAATCTGGTATGTTCCAAAGTGGTCTCTGTGAAATTTAAATAAGATATTGCCAACATATTGTTATAGTAAAGTAGTGAAGTAATTGTTTTTCATGACTTTTAGACTATAACAACCAGTGGCAGAAGATTCAGGGTCATTTCCTGAACATCAACATCATGGCTATCCCTTGCTGTTGTTCAGTGGAACCAGGAGTCTTGGCTCCTAATACCAGGTCAGTAAAGGTTTAAAAGAATTCAAATAATATTTATAAGTTCTGATGCCTTCCTCTATTACCATTGAATTTTCTCCCCAGAATACCTGCTGTTATCCTTAATGGGCTTGTTACCTCACCGTGGTGTGGGCTGTTTCAGTCTCCAACTGATATCTGTAAAATGAGGACGACTGTTCAATGAGATTTTTTTTCCCCAAATCTGTGATTCCATAACTGTGTGAAGCTATTGGGATAAGACTTCCGTCTGTTGGTATAGATTTGTAAACTAAGTATCAGAAAATAGATGAATGTAATAACTTTGGCCCAACAATTAATTCATAACTTCAGCAAAGTTGCAGGCTACAAAATAAGTCCATAAAAAAATCAACAGCATTTTTGTATAATAACAACAGAATCCAAAAGGCAATAGTTGAAATTCAAAATAACCAAAAAATTCATAAACTACTCTCAACATTTGTACAAATACAATTATAAAATTCTCCTTAGAGAAAGAAACAACTTAAATCATGGGAGGAATATTCAGTGCTTTTAGCAAGGCCATGCCAATATGATAAAAATGACAGTACTACCAAAGGTAATTTTCATCTTAATGATATGCCAATTAAACTATCAAAAGGATACTTTATATAATTTGATAAAATAATAACATTAATTTGGAGTAATAAAAGATCTAGATATGAAAGGAAATGATGAAAAACCGGTAAGAATAAAGAGAGACTAGCACTTCCAAATCTCAAACTATAATTTAAAGCAGCATTCATTAAAACCATTTAGTATTGTTTAAAAAATAGAGAAGTACAACAATGGAAGACTAGACAAGAGAGAATCAGAAATAATGGAACCCAATAATCCAGTGTTTGGTTAACCCCCAAAACATAAATTAGTTAGGAAAATATTCACTATTTGATAAGAACTGAGAAAACTAGAAAGCAGTCTATCAGAAACTAAGTTTAGATCAAATTCTTTGCAAAATTATACAATAAATTCAAAATGGATACATAGCCTCAATATTAAAGAAACTACCAAAAATTAGAAAAGGTGTAGTAGATCATAGACCCTTCACTGCTATGGGTAAGAGATTTATTCTTAACCAAGTAAGAAGTAATGGCAATATAAAAAGATTTTTAAAAATTATTATATGAAATTTAAAAGGATTTACACAAACAAAATTAGTGAAGATACTCTAAGAAAGGAAGCAGTCAACTGGGAACAAATCTTCGTACTCATTTTTTTGGATAAGGGTTTGGCATCCAAAATATTTAGTCAGCTAACTAAATATGTAAGGCCCAAAATCATTTCATAATAAATAAATGGGCAAAGATATAAACAATCAGTTCTTATAAGAAGAATTGCAAATTCTTATTGAACACATGAAAGAATATTCCACATAAATAACAATAAATAAGAAAAATTCAAATCACAATATCCCTGAGGTTTTGCCTCACACTCAGCAAATTGGCAAAGAAGACAGAAGTTAAAAATAGTTTATATAAAGTGGAGGGATATGGAAGGAGAGCTACCCTAATGGATTGTTAGCGAAAGTATGAATTAGTACAGCCATTCTAGAGAGCAATTTAGAATTATGCAAATAATGTCGCTAAAATGTCCATAATTTGACTTGAAGATTCTACTGCTGCACAAAGGGGTAATTGATAAAAAGAAAGTCTCCATAATCTCCAAAATATTTATGTCAATACTTTTGTAAAGCACTAAAAACAAAGTAGATGCCATTGGATTGGGAAGTGGCTAAATTGTGATACATCAATTTAATGGAAGATTACTTGTGATGTCAGAAATGATGATTGTGATGAATACACAGAATCATGAAAAGACTTACAAGAACTGGTACAAAGTATAGTAAGCAGAACTGAGGAAGTAATATGCACTGTGCATGATGACACTAACATAAATAGAAAGAATAACCACAAAACAATAAAAAAAATGAACGTCGTGAAATTACAGAGAACAGGCATGGCCCCAAAGAAGAAATATGAGAAAACACTTCCTTTGCAGAGGTGAGGTATCCACAGACGTGGGATATTCCAACTAGGAGAGTGTTTAAAAGGCATTGATTAGTTTTCCTGCCCTCCCTCTTCTGCTTTATCTTATATCTTTAAAATAAAATGCCTTGTTATAAGATATGGCTGTATTGTAGTGATAGAGTAATTTAGGCAATGTAAAAACAAAATGTATCAATAAAAACGTATGTAGAAATAGCTTTGGTCGACATATACTAAAAAATGTCATTTGTTCTCTTTTAAAGTAAAGTCTAAAACATTACACAGGACATAGTATTAAAAATAGATTAAATGGAACCAGCACACTGTGGTAAAAAGTACAGTTCTTAGATTGACCAAATTGGGGTTCTACTCCCAGATTTTCCTCCAACTAGTTGTGTGACCTTGGACAAGCTATGTAGTAAGCTATCAATTTCTTCTTTTGTAAATTGAGGGAGTTAGGCTAGATAATCATCAAATTCTCATAAAGTTTAAAATCCTATGACTTTTTAAATTAAAGAGTTTTTATTCCCCTGTTGCTAACTTCCAAACTTTTCTCATTGAAATAGAATTATAATCATTTAAGTGAACATAAGTAATATTTACTTTAATGTCTAATCAAGACTCTTTTCCCATTAGTTATTTTCCCAAGTTATTTGATGCCTCTGCACATAAATACATATTTAAATCACAAAAATCACTTAACTATATGTTTGCAACTTAATGAGTAATTAAATATTTTTTTTTACTCAGGACTATGACATTCAAACTTGACCAAAAAGTTTAAAAATATCAAATGGATGCGGATGTCAAAAACCCCCTACTTTTTAATGCCAACCACAGTAATACCTTCTGGATACTTTAAATTAAAACCTTGAGGATACCTTTTCCCATTTGAACCCAAAGCTCCTGTAGGATTGGGTGATTTTCTTTATTGAGGTGCATTGAGCTGCCATTGAGTTAAATACAGCTATAACCCTAAAATTACCCTTTCCCATTCCCCTTTTTTACTTGCACTGAACTCCCCTCACCTCTCTACCTGCTTGGGAGATTCTGAGACTTTAATCATGGTGTCTAACTAAGAAATACTCATTGTGGTTAGTGGTTTTTTCCACCATCCTTTTAATTGTGGATTCCTAGTAATTTTATGTCATGATAGTTGAGCAGACTGTATTGATTTCCTTTTCATGGAGCTTTTTAATAAAAGAGGTTTTTGAAGAAAATGTTAATTCATAAGCAGAATTGATTAGAAATGGTCCATCAGTAGTTTTAAAATGTCACTGCAAAGTATTAAGAAAAACACAGAATAATGTAACATTACTAAATCAATTTTCCCCAAACCTACTAATAAATGCCATGTTTATATGAAAGGAACTATATAGATTCTTTTTTATGCTAGAATTCTAAACTAGATACTAAATTAGATTTCTTAAAGCAAAATAAAATATTTTATTTACAGATTAAATAATGGAAGTATGGCTCTTATTATTGCACGAAACACTTCTCGACCAGAATTTGTAAAACATCTGAAAAGATATGCCAGTTTAAAAAGCCAGGTATAGTAAATCTTTCTTGGTTATCCTATTTAAAAAACCTGCTAATCATGGAGGGAACTCTACTGCCAGTACTCACATAGATGTCCTTCCTTAAGAAGGCTTAGTTTCTTGTCTGAATGTATTAGCCCCTTCTTATCTGAGTTTGGAAATCATTAATCAGTCTAATAGAGATTAGCCTCCTTAGGACCATCTGCTATAGCTCAGTCCTGTGTAATTTCCATTAGATCTCAAAAGGGAGTATAAATCTACCAAACTCAGGAAAAACAAAGAATTGTTTTACTAAAGTATGAGCAAATTGAGATTAACAGCGTGCCATCATGTATAGATGCCACCCTTTGGAAATCTTTTTCAAATCAAATGTTCTTTGGAAGAGAACATGATGAAATTCAAAATTTTGGTTGTTGATATTATGGCAACAGATTTTCTTTCATATTGTGCCCTTCAGATTTCTCAGATATTCTTGTGTAAATGAGCATACATTAAGCAGTTAGCAGAAATGTACTGATCCAAAATTCACAGCATTTCAAATGTAAACATTATTTAGCCCGACATTTAGAACTAGAATAAATTTTAATGTTTTTTCACCATTCAAGGGATTCATTATTTCTTTAAGAGACAAAATGGGGAATCTAAATCATATCCTTCCTGCAACCCATATAATGCAGTGGCTAAAAGACTGAGCTACAAATATGAAGAAATCAGTAAATTTCTAAACCTGTTTTCAATCTCAGCTATAGAGACACCAGGTTTTCCCAACCTCAAATTCAATATGATTTTAACTGTGTTATGCTGCCTCTGTGTAATGCCCATGGTATTCTACTCAGGAATGTAGAGTTTATATGGTAGATTAGAAAGTTTCCCCTCAATCTCCATAAACATTAGGGTTTAAAGGGAAGCCAAGATACACAAATATAGATATAACACAAAATGTTCTATTATTATAAAGTCATATGACTGTGAGTTTTCCCTATTTATTTTAAGCAAGCACATCCAAAGTTAGGCTATCTGAATGTATGCTAGCCATCAAAGTACTCAAGTTGAGAAACTAAACATTTATTCTAACACTGCTGCCATTACTAAAAAACATTTTTGAAATGGTCATTTTAGAATTGCTTGGAGAACCAGTTTACAAGACTCACACAAAAAGAAAAATAAACTTAAGACTTTTTATCTACTCTTTCAAACAAAGAGAGAGAATTCCAAGCATGGGGAACAACCAGCACAAAGGCCCAGAGATGGGAGAGTGTTACGTGTGGGGAACAGCAATTAGGCTAGTATGGATGGACCATACAGAGTTTGGAGAAGAGTATTATGTAAGAAGATTAGAAAGCTAGAAAGGGGCTAGGCTGTGCATACCAAACAAAGCCATTTATATTTGATTCTGTAGGTAATAGGGAGCCACTGGAGTATACTGGGGAGGTATAGGGAATGACATGGCCAGAAAGACAGATTAGTAAAATCGCTTTGGTAGTCATATGGGTGATGGATCACAGGGGAGAGACACGAGGTAGGGGTGGCAAATGGAAAACTATTTCATGAGTCCAGAAGGGAGATGATGAAGGCCTGAACTAATGTGGTGACATTGTGAATGGAGTGGAAGGGATATATGCAATGAATGAATGAAAATAGCATTTATTAAGTAGTTACTATGTGCCAAGGTTTATGCTAAGCATTAGGCTTGCGTAACTATAGATGCGGATATGTGTAATGTGTGTGTATATATGTATATATACACAGATAACATACACATATGTATGTATATACTTATGTGTATATATATGCATATGATTATATTTTTAAAGAGACAACCCTTGCCCTCAAGAAGCTTGAAATCTAATATGGGGAAATCAATACAAATAAGTGATTGGTGACCACAGAAAGGTGTTTTGTACTGAAAAGGTGAAAGTTGGGAGGTTGGGAGGAGATCACATGGAAGCAGATGGTGAGTTGACCTGGGTGAATAGCTGGGTGGGTTGTGAAGCTAAATCATTCCTGGTGTTTAAGGTCAACCAGTAGATAGTAGGCTAAGTAGGCTAGTTTGCATAGACTCAGACACCAGTCAACTAGGTTAGGCCATATGGTGGGAGTTCCAAAGGTGACAGATTAAATTACTCAGGGACCCAACTAATGTTGAGGTCCAGGTCTCAGATCCAAAATGAAGAGTGCTGGTCCAGGTGTGGAGGAGCAAGATGTGCCATAGAAGTAAAGTAAACAAGATTAAGCAACTTTCTGGGTATGTGGAGTGAATGAGACTGAGTTGAGAATGAATCCAGTTTTGAGAAGGCTGGGTGACTAGAAGGATGATGGTGTACTCAGTAGTGACAGGAAATTTTGGTGGGGGCAGGAGAGGAGGTGATGAGTTCTGGTTTGGGACATATTAAGTCTGAGATGCCTAAAGAACATCTAGTTTGAAATATTCAATAAGCAGTTCATGATGACTAAAGCTCAGTAGAGAGACTAGAGTTGGTTATATAGATCTTGGAGTCTTTTGTATAGAGACGATAATTGGATCATCATTGGCTAATGAGGTTGCCAAATGAGAAAGTCTAGAGCAGGAATTCTTAACCTTCTTTGTGTCATGGACTACTTTGGTGGTCTGATGAAGTCTAGTGACTCTTCTCAGAATAATGTTTAATGCATAAAATAAATACATTGTAAAGGGATCATGAAGAAAACCAATTATATTAAAATACACATTTTTTTAAAAGTTCATGTACCAGAGGGTAAACACCTCTGGGTATAAGAAGAGAAGAGTCTCCTGAACAGAGCCTAGGCAACACTGACAAGTTAGTGGACATTTCATGACTTTTTATTCAACAAAGGAGACTCAGCCGGAGTTTCAGACAGAACAAGTCAGTTGTACCGGGACAAGGCAGATGTTGAAGAAGTGAAGAAGTCTGGAGACTCAGGTCATGGCTGGGGACCCTCTTGAAATAGTGGTGACTGCCTGCACAGGAATAACCACCTCATCATCAAAAAATTGAATAAAGAAGATAATGGGCAGTGCCAGGGAAATGAGATGAGAAGAGGGGGTTTGATGTTAATGGCTTCTGTTTTTTTTTTGTTTTGTTATGTTTTTTAGTGAAGTGGGAAACAGGGTCCCTTCCCAAGAGGCTGAGTAGAACGGAGTGATGTGGGAGGTTTCCCAAGAGAAGGTTTGGAATAGATGCTATGGTGAATTTGATGGAGGCTTTAGAGAGGAATAGAGAATTGTCTTTCTGCGATGGGGACTCAGTTGTGATTAAGTTATATCTGTTCATAATGAACCCAGGCAGCATGGTTTTATGACTTTCTTCAGCTCTCTTCAGCAGTACATGAGTAGGATTGAAGGTAGCACATCATGGGGAAAATACAGGTTTGGTCAGGAGAGATTATAGGACAAGGGAGCAAGGGATTCGGTAGTAAAGGATAAGGTGTACTTGAGGCATCAAAATTAGGTAGGAGAGTATAGTCAGCAGAGAAGCTTGAGAAAGTATGGAGGAGTAGAAGATTTGGAGTTCATGATGACAAAAAAGAACAGGTTTAGCAATAAGTAATAAGACATATGGAAAGTCCGAATGACAAAAGATTGAAATCAGATGAAGGGAATTCCAGGTCAAATGAACAACAAGATGGAGGACTGGTCATTTTCTCTGATCCCCACAACCATTCAGACTTCTCCAAAACAAATTATGCTCCTAAGACAAAGCAACTTCATCTGTCTCTATGGTCTAGGACACCCAGAATCCAAAAGAAGGTTAAAAAACCAAAACCGATACTAAAATATACATAATGGCACCTGCCCTGAGTTTACTCAGCACTTCCTTCTCCACTGCTCACCACTCTATCAGCAATGAGTCTGAACTAGCTAAGCAAAGGACCTGGCACAGGGACTTTCAACAAAATCTAAGGACCTGAAACACAAGCTCACAACAAAACCCAACTCCACATGCCAGTCTGCCCTTTATCTTTCCAGTGCTTTGGATATCCCAGCTCCAAACTGCTTCTTGGTATCGTGACATAAAACCTGCTCTGTGGTGGCAGTATTCTGTGCCACAAAAGATCTCTGTAGTAGGATGGAGGAACAGAGGGAAAGGAGCAGGACATCTGCCTGGGCTTGAAATAGAGCTTGATTCCCTCACCCCAAAACCCCCTCCTCCTATGCTCTTGAGGACTCGAACTATAGGAATCAACTTGGTAGGATTAGTTTGGCAGCTCTCTGAATTTCTGGAGCTGGCCAGAGGATTAAGGAACCGAGGGCACCAGGACAAGATACCAAGGGTGGGGAGAGTATGTGGCATTACGCCAAGTCTGAGGGAAAGATCTCAGCATCCAGCTAGGGACAGTTCTATCTCTCCCCTTATCCCCCCCACTCCCCACCCAAGTCACTTGGGGCAGAGAACTAGGCTGTTGAATCATGAATTGCCCACTGTGGGAGGAGGATGAGATGCTTTGAGATCCAGACCCCAGAAAAATCACCATCAGAGGGAACAGGGTCAGAGAGAAATAGGGCAAAATAAGCAGAGGGAAAAACTTATATTACCAGAGAGCTTAAGAAGAAAAAAACTCAAAAATCTGGAACCTTAGAAGATAAATCAACAGGGAAAGCACTAACAGCAGAGGAGAAGATGACCTCCATATCTAGTCAACGAGTTCAGTCATCTAAGATTAAATACTGTAAAACAAAGTAAAATGATCGAACTTTGATGCAATAAAATCCTGAGTGGTTTAAAAGAGAAATGACAATTATGAAAGTAGATTTATGGCCTGCACGCCAAAAAATAATTGGTATAATTGAAAAGCTTGAATCTGTGATGGCAAGTCTCGACAAAGAGACAAAAGAAAGAACAATAGATTGGGAATGCAAAGACATTAGAGTAAAGGTCAGTGTAGAAGAAAAACAAAAAACCCGAAAACATTAAAAGAAAGTATGTTCACCACTGAAGCAAAATATACTGATCCTGAATACAGGATGTGTAGAGGTAACCTAAAGATCATAGGTCTCCCAGAAGAACATGACA